GACAACAGGTAGGTCCAACCACCCATACAAAGAAGCAGGACAGAGTCTTTTCCGCTGGTGTCAAATCAGCTATACTTGTTTGACATCATCCACCTCCTTTGCCACACCTTTCCTCATTGCTTTGCGCAAGTAGGAGGCATTTCTGGCAGCTGACCATCGTCACATCCAACCCAAAACTGAAGGCCGAAGCACCGAAGGGCCAACCGCAACGAGTATGCCATGCCATAACCGGCGAGGCTATTGGCTGTCGCTTGTTCTCGTGCACCATCCCACCCTTTGAGATCACCGTGGGTGGTAATAGGCCGTGGTTCTCCTTCGACACCTTCTCCCGCTTCAGAATCGAATCGTCCAACTTGTCCTGGGTGGCCCTGAGGAACTGTATCTCCTTTTTCAGTTTGCGCTCCGTGTCCTTCAGCTCTGTCAGTGCCTTGATGTCCTGTTCTTTTAACATCGGTGTGGTTGGGACCTTCGTGTCTGTCTTGGCGTCATTCTTGCTGTTGTTCTCGATCTGTGGTCTCGGCATCACCGGCATCGTCTCCAAGGCTTCCTCCGCATATTGCAAGATCACATTCGATTTCCCAACGTTTCCGGCGACCAACACGTCGTGCTTCCCTTCACGCCCAGGTTGAGCAAAATCTTGTCCACGGTCCTCCTCACTGAGGCCCTCGCCCTTCTCGATGAATTTGCATAGTAGCCCTTCTGAAAGTTCGACACGGTCCTGGTCCTTCTCGAGCCGTTTGACCTGAACATCTTGGCTGTTCGAATGGCCTTCAACCACTTTTGGTTTCCTTTCAGCTTTGAGTTTGCTGTCGGTCGTTGGAGTACGTCAGGCCGTAAGCGAGGTGCTGCTTTGCTCTCGCTCCTCCCTTCACGCCGAACTCGAGCTCCACCTCGATCTTTCTTCTCCCCATCCGGCTTCTCCTCGGCTGGGTCTGAGTCTCTTCTCACCTTCTTGGACCATGCTTCGCCTTCTCCACCTTTTCGACGACGTTTCACCAAGTGTACCAGGGAGCTGCTGTGCGACTCTTCCTCCTCCCCTTTAACCCCCGGCGGGGGAGGTGGGAATTCAAAATTTTCAGCTTCCTGGACCACCTCCTTCACCGTCTCGTCGGCCAATTCCTCGTCTTCCTTCGTCTCAATGAACCATGGTCCTGATCGATTCGCCTTCGTCTTCCCCTCGATCAAAGCTGCCAGCTGTCCTTCGAGTTGAGCCTCCTCGTGACTAGCCACATCATGTCCCTCGAGGCCATCACCCTTTCCCTCAGCGGTGGGGAGGGTGTTCCCGGTGTGTCTAACTCCGTTGAGGGGGCTGAAGACGTTCCCTCCGTAGCCCGCGTCCCCCTCGGTGAGAAGTGATTCACCAAAGATCTCCACGGGGCCGGTTCCGAAGGTGAAGATTGCGGGTGTCTCCTCCTGGTTCCCCTCTCCGGCGTCCATTCCAGCAGGTTGTAGGGGTAGATGTCCTCGTTGTCTCCGTCCATGTCCCATGGTTCCACCCATAAGTCCTCCCCTTCTGGTTGGTGATCTTCCCCTGGATCGTCCTCTGCTGCTTTCCTTGTCTTCTCCGCCTTGTCCATTGCTCTTGTGGTTGACCGCGGAGAGTAACAGCCTTGAATGAGATGAACTAAGCGTCTGCACCCGAGCCATACTGCCGCGAGGTGGGTCAGCACTCCAATTGCGACGAGGTAGAAAAGCCAAAAGCGAAGCCATGGCCACGAATAAATGCCCACATACACCTGTGGTGGGGAAGTCGTGACAACCGGCGCCACCTCCATCTTGAGCCCCGACTGCTGGGAGTACCTGACATGCGTGCGACTCGGCCGAACGAACCCGAAACACACTTACCCGACCTACCAGGTTCCACCATGTGGCCTCCCGGCAAGTCCCAGCTCCTTTTCCTTCAAGTCGACCATCACGGTCGCAAGCTCCAGGCTGCCGTCAGGGCTGCTTCGTCCCGCCATTCGGCGGAGTCCGGCCCGGGCGGATGAAGGCTGTACCACTCGACCGTCCGCTCCACTGGCGTCTCGATCGTGATGCCTTCCAAAGCCGCTGGCAAGGTGGTGCTGCTCCATGTGTCCGGTCTGGACAGGAAGTCGGCTTCCTTGTTGGCTGTCCCTGGCAAATGTACCGGTTTCAGCTCGGCCAAACCCAATGCTTCGCAGGCCACCGCCAGCTCGGCTCCCAAGAAGTTGAGCGATGACCCGCTGTTTGAAAACTTCTGTGTCATGGCCAGTGCTGTGATGGAATCCGACTGAACGGATATGGCCAGGTTGACGGAAGTCAGCAGTCGCCCCCAATGTCGTAACGCTGCCAGGATCGCCAGCGTCTCCACAATCCCTTGCGAACTCGATTGACCGAGTTCGAAACCAAGCAGCTTCGCGTCCAGCTCGCCCACCGGGGACGCCAATGCCTTGGTGACCCGTCCGTTCACCAGCAGGATTGCTCCCAAGCCCTGTGGGGAAGCGTCTGTCAACAACGTCAGGTCGGCCCTGCCTCCCTTGTAGAGGTTGAACTTCCGGATGGGTTTCCCTTGTGCTGCCTTGAGGTACGCCAACAGCCACACCCTTGCCTTCTCCAGCCTCTTCACCGGGATGAGATGGTCCTTCGGGCGGCTGTCCTTGCGTTGCTCCCTCCTGATTGCTTCCCCAATAGCTTCGGTTAGACAGATTTCTAACTATTAGGTTGTATGGACTAGTTGGTAAGAAAACAAACTAAATAGTTTAAACATGTTTTGACTAATAGGTTTATAGCTCTTTCTGACTATTAGTTTGTTTAATGGAACAAACTGGAAAGTACACCTTGCAAGCGCATAAAAAAGTTTTGCCAAAACAAATGTCAATAAAAAAATGTAACAACATATTGAAATTTGTACAATTGTTTGGCTACTATTCTCTGTTCTGAAAATGGTTCTTCTAGTCTACAGAAGGAAAACTGAAGCCCGTGCCAAAGTGAGCCTGTGTAGATAGAAGGTGAGTCTAATGTCAAAGTGAATCTTGAGCGATTGTCTTCCCAAATGGATCATCCTTTGCCATGGCTGCAGACAAAGGGCTCTGAGGCAAGAACCTAGAAGTCAGTCAAGCTGGTGGAGGGGACAAAAAACTTTCAGGTTCAAAGGCTGGCTTCAAGCCAGGCATTGAACCTTGCAGACAATTGAAAGGTTCATAGTGACAAAATGCGACACACATTGTGGCATTGTCATGTGACATTGGAAAGAACCATGTGCTGGAAGCAATGCTGAAAGTTAACGCACATGAACATCTTCCCAAAGTCCAAAAGTGAACATATGCAAAAAAACCTTGCATTCGCACAGTGCCAATGTGTTTATCACATTCCTTTTTTCAATCACCAAAGGTGTTGGAATATCAAGTGATCCTTAAAACTTATTTGCCTTCTCATGTGAATCTCTCAAATGAAACTCGCATTAAACATCGCAATGTGAATCTTCCAAGTGCATCTGGATTTAATTCTTTACCTCCATAGACTTTGCACATTTTTGGTGAATGCTTTATCTCAACCTTTTTTGGAGCCTTCCTTCCAAGACAAAAGCCTGGGCTTGCCAAACCCGGGGAGTAAATCAAAAGCTTGTTCACCATAAGCTGTTGCAAGTCTAAGAAGACCACCTGAAAGAAAGATGAACATGCACATAAATGCAACAAAAATGTTGCAAATCAAATACAAAAATGCAAAAATCACAATGAAAATCATCAAAGCATACCTAAAATCAATGAGCTGTAGTGTAAGTTTGGTGTAAGTTTGATGTAAACTTACACTGAAACTTACACTCCATAGTGTAAGTTTGGTGCAAACTTACATCAAACTTGCACATCAACAGTGTAACTCTACACTAAAGTTACATTCCTGAGTGTAAGTTTACATCAAACTTACACTTCGCAGTGTAAGTTTACACTTCTGTGTGTAACTTTGATGTAAACTTACACTCCAGGTGTGTAAGTTTCAGTGTAAGTTTGCACCAAACCTACACTAAACTTACACTATGGAGTGTAAGTTTTAATGTAAGCTTACATCAAACTTACACCAAACTTACACTCCAGTTCATTGATTTTAGGTATGTTTTGATGATTTCATTGTGAATTGTTCATTTTTGTATTTGAAATTGTAACATTTTTGTTGCATTTATGTGCAGTTTCATCTTTCTTTGGCTTACCTCCTTTGCACATGGACCATCTCCTTCAGCAAGAGGTGCACTCTTCCAGCAAATCTTTTTTGGGCTGTGCCTTCAAGAAGTTGACAAAGACTGCTTGCAGCTCTCTGACCCCAACATTGGGATCAGCCACCAGTCTTTTCTGAGACATCTTGGGCCACAACACACTGGGTCAAACACATTGGAGGTGTGAAGGTCTTGTGCACATGTGTGACCTTGCCTTTTCCGAAGTGAAAAGCATCATTGCTGATGAACTACAGTGGTTCATTTACTGTGATTCTTTTTGGATGTGAATCTGTCTTTGTTGAATGAAAGTCTTGGCTGAACCTGTGAAGTGAATCTTTACTCTGATTCTTTTGTGGGATGAACCTGCCTTTGTTCTTGAGTGAAAGACTAAGGTGAATCCTTTTCTGAATGAAGAACCTCTGGCTCTGATTTTGCTTTAAAGTGAATCTGTGTGCTCTCACCCACAGTCTAAGGTGAATCAAGGTGAATCCTGTATTCAGATCTTTTTTTAGAAGTGAACCTGGCTGCTCTGAGTAAAAGCACGAGGTGAATATTTAAGGTGAATATGTTATTCTGGTCAACTTGTTGAGGTGAATTTGTGTTTGTGTGTCTTTTAAGGTGATACCTGATGTGAAGAGTGTCTTGCTTTTGGCAAGTGCATGTTGAACAAAATAGAATCAAACATCATTTGAAGAAAACACGAACAACCTTACATTTTTTGGTTTATTTGACCTTTCAAACTATTAGTTAAAACCATTGTTCTGACTAATAGTTTAATCATATGTTTTAACTAATAGTTAAGAAACAGTATATAGACTAAGAGTTAGAAATCTGCCTAACCGAAGCTATTGGGTCTGTTCCCTGCGCCACGTCCTCCTCATGATCGTAAAGGGTGGCGTAGAAGGTGGACGTCACCCAGCGGGCCCTTGGCAAGATGCCCGCCAACCATGCCACTCGGCCGGCTGCTTTGCGAAGTTCCGATGCTGCGATCCTGCCCTTCTTCTCCCAAGCCTCCAACTGCTTTTGCAACTCTGCCATGAACTTCTCCGGTAGCGTCACCAGCAAATGATCGTAGTCAGGTGCCACCAGCTTGAATTTCACCCCGACCCATGTGACTGCCGCGGCTCGTGCCCCCTTTGACAGTGACAGCTTCAAGCCCAGTGCGGCCATCGTGGTCAGGATGCATGCCAGTATCTTGTTTCGCACCTGCAGCTTCCCGCATAGTACCCACAGGCTGTCATCCAGGTACACCTGATGCATACCGTTCTCCTGCGGGATTATTGACTGCACTAACCTTGCGACCATCGCTGCCACCCTGCTCCAAGTCAGTGGTGCTGTCTTGAAGCCGAAGAGCAAGGCGATGAACAGGAGCCAATGCTCGTTGTCCAATGCTGGGGCTAGGCAGTGTCCTTTCTCCTCTTCCTTCACCGCCAGGTGCATGTAGGCGTCCGATATGTCGATCATGACCAGCTCCATTGACCGATCTTGTTGACTGCCCTGCTCCGCATGTAATGCGTGCATCTTTCTCATCATCGCCACCGCATCCATGGGCCTCGGGAGAATGATGCGTTCGGGCAGTTCTGCCTTCTTGTTTCCTCCCGACCTCTTAAGGTCAATGATGATGCGTCTCTTCTTCGAGCCGTCCTCCTTGTCCTTCACAATGAGCCCCAGCCGGCTTATGGTCGTGCCTTTGAATCCGGCCTTCTCCACCTCCTCCTTCTTCACCTTGACTGCGTAGCCCAGCTTGCAAAGCCTGCCCACCTCGATCTCTGCATCTTCCACTTGTTCTTGCACTGACGTGTAATTCCCGATGTCTTCCCTCAACCCTTCCGCCGCCTGGATGTCCCCTAAGGCCGTCTTCTCCTCTGGTTTCGTTGAGGGTGGGAAAATGCCGCAAGTCCTGATGGAGCAGTTTATGCCCAAGGGCACTCCGTCCCTGATCCATCGATGAACCTCCGTCTCAGGGTCTCCTCCCCTCCCTCCCCAAGCTTCGAACAGGTTGCCTTCCAGGGGTGAGGTGAAAGTCCACTTGCCCTTCAGCTTCAATGAGCCCTCGCCTCTAGCACCCGTGAGTTTCCTCAACTCTTCCTTCCACCTCTCAATCATCTTCTTCTCCAAATTGCAATCAGGCGTGCCGTAGCTCTCCCCCACCTTCGTCGCCGCCGGATACCTGTTGCAATGCCGGTCCCAAGCTCCCAGAATCTGTCTCCCCAGGTTCTGAAGAGTCGGCAACCCTGCAACCACTTCCGCCGGGTTCTTCAAACCCCCGATGAAGGCCTGCTGGCCCAAGTCCTGTTCCTTCTTGTCCTCCTTCAGCAGCCCATACTTCCCTTCTCCTGGCTTCCATCTCAAATCCTGTGCCCTACCTTTCTCCTTTGACTCTTTCGCCTCACCTCCTTTCCTCCTTCCCCTTGATCGCGACCTCTGCTCCCTCTTGACGCCACTGCCCCTCGCCTGTCCATCGTCGTGGCCTCGATCGTGCTGATGTTCTCTTCGCCTCAACTCCTCCTTCTTCTTCGCGTCATACTGCATCTTCTCCTCTGCCTCGTCCCTCTGCCACTTCCTCTTCCTTTCCCGTCTTTCCTGCATGTCCATCGTCGGCGATGGTGACGTCTTCACCCCTTCCTTCATCCTCACCTCCCTCGACTGCGTGGCCTCTGCATTGCTTGTTGCTATTTCGTCGTGATCTTGTTCCCCTTCTTTCAACCTCCCCTCCAAATACTCCGCTGTTGCCATCTTCTCGAAGTGCTGTATGAGGAGGAGTGCATAGGCGTTGCAAAGCTCCCATGGGTATTCCCCTGACTCCTTCAACTCCTTCTTGCCCACGATTGGTCTGTGGGACGCTGTGCCGCACCTGCATTCCCTATCCAGTGACTCGATCCCGTACAGCGACCCTGCGAATTGCTGCGGTTTCCAATGGCAATCTCCTCGACTCCTGCCCGACTGATATGCGCAAGTGTTGAACAAGGAGATCTTCACCCCTGGCAAGCGAAGATACTGCACCATCTCTTTCATGCCCCAAGCCGAAATGTGCCCCTCCACCTCCGAAGGCGGAGGGTTCTCCAGCGTCGTGGGCTTCACTACAATCGCCGTCGTTGGGGATCTCATGACCTCCTCTGCCAACTGGGTTGAGCGAGCCAGCATCACTGTCCCTCTATCGCACTCTCTCTGCTGCGCCTCGTTATTCGAAGCCTTCCCATACGGTTCAGCTCGAGTGCGAACGGGTCCTGGTAGTCCAGCCGCTTCTCTAAACCTCAAGCGCGAAAACGTCGAGCAGGGGAAGCCGGCATGAAAGCCATCTATCAAGCCTTCTCTTGCCCAGCGTAGGTGGGTGTTGTACGGTTCGTCCGCACACAAGTCCTGGCCCCAATCTCGTTCTGCGGAGATCACCTCGACATTCAAGCCCCTCTTCTTCGCCACCCGGTGGATTTCAGCTCCCAGGGGATCCCTTGGACCCGAATAGTGATGGAGGAAGCGGAACCTGCGTTGTTTGATGTACTTTGTGATCTTCTCATCCAATGCCTTCGGGTTGTCCTCCTTCTTGGACTCCTCCTTCTCCCGATCCTGCTCCTTCTCTTCACCACCTTCACCGCCGTCTTGATGTCCACCTTGTTGAGATTCGCCTGAAGCGCCCTTCACCTCTTGCCCTGACATCGATGAGACGGGTGACCTGGCGAACCGCATGAAGAGCACTTGTGAGCCCGTTTGATCGTATTTGCACATTCGGCGCCAGCTGGCAAAGATCCACACGGAGAGTTCCCGTTGTTCCATGAGAAGCAAACAGATTCCGCTTGCTTCCCTCCTCCGCCCTTTTTCCCCTTTCCTTTTCCTCCTGACCTTCGCTCGCCACTGCCTTCGTGCCGTGCATCTCGAAGTCGTTGGAGTTCTTCGCGTTCCGCCTGCCACTTCCTCTTCTTCGCTTCTTTTCGTTCTCGATTCACCTGCCTTCTGGTAGATGGGGTAGTCGATGACGAAGCCTGTCCAAATGCCCCCGACTCCATCGATGGCATTAAAGCTTCTGCTCCTCCTCGAACTGCACCTTGTGCGATGGTCTCCTGAGGAGTTTGCACTCTTCCCTTTGATCCCGAGGCCAACCACGTCAGGGCCGGACCATGCACCTGGTCCTGCCAAAATTTCAGTTCGCTTGGCACCATTTTGATGATCGCTTCCCATGGTTTCTTCTCTTCGAAAGCGAATGGAGCCGCCTTCCCGCCCTTCATGTCCATGTTGATCTTCAGCTTCAACCTCGATAGAAGTTCGCTCCGTGCCATCTCGTCTGCCGCATACACCAAATGCCAGGCCTCGGGGTATGCTCTGGTCAGTTTCTCCACGAAGAGCTCGTAGGCGTGCAAAGGTGCCAGGGTGCATTCCTCTAGCATCAGCATGGCTGTCGTGAACACCCGATAGCAAGCTCTCCACTGAGTGAAGTTCGCCGGACCTGGAAGTTCCTTCGCAACATAGCCGTCCGCCGTTGGGATCCATGTCTTGTATTTCGAAGCTCGTAGTGCCTTCCTGCCGAACGGGACGAACACGCCGAAGTCGCAGTATGGAGGTTTTCCCAGGCTCAACTTCTTCTTCAGGGCCGACAACTGCTCTATCGTGGGCTCCTCCTCCTCCTCGGGCAGTGCACCTGTCATCAACACGTACTTCTGGAGCAGTGTCATCTTTGCCTCTTCGTTGAGGACCTCGAACTCCCCATCGTCTCCCTGGTCGAGCACCTGCGTGAACTTCAAAGTCCTCTCCTTCGCCTCCTTCCCAAACTCCCCGGATGTAGTCCGTGCCGTTGCCGTCGAACCTCTTGGAGGTGAGGTGGGAGTGTTGCCCCCTCCTTTCACAAACATAATCCTCCTCGCCAGTTTCCACACCAGCCCCACCTGGGCGGCCTGCACCGCGGTCAAGGGGGTGCCGTCGTCGAAGCTCGCCTGGGCCAAAGAGGCTGCAATCACCGAGCCAGGGAGTGCAGCAAGTAGTCGAAGGTCGTCGGTGGGATCGCCTGCTTCGCGAACAAAAGCTTGCCAGAGAGGGGCCGACACCTGAAAGTGGTCCAGGGCATCCTGAACCGACGACACCGAAGCTGCCGCCATGGCGGAAGGAAACATGGCCTAGCGACCAAATCAGGCCGACCGCGAGGATCCCAAGGACCCTCATGACAAAAACCTATGCGGTCAGGGCTTGAGCCAAAATGGCGTACTCAAGCCCTGACCCCACCCAGACCTACCTAGTATTGTCCATCAGAAAACTCCTTCGTCTTTTTCTTGTACGAAACACGCCGGAGACCAGGCCAGACCCCAACATCGGGCGCTGGTCAGAACATGGGCGCCTTCTTGACTCTCTTCTCGAAGCGGATCCCCAGAGGGCCGGCGATCTGCTCTTCGGGGTCATAGTGCATGACCTGAGGGAATGCGGATGCGGAGGGTGGTGTGGGGTGGGGGTTAATGACAACATTTCAATTGATGTCTGTCATTCAGATGTCATACCATGACCCACATCTTCAACTTTAATTGCAAGCCCCTTCAAACCAGCATGTTCTACGGAACTGGCCTGTTCCACTTTCTGCTTTGTGATAACCCTGCTCAACATCAAAAGATCAGTTTTGATGGCATCTCCGCTTTTGACTCCATCTTCAAAGGATCAAACATGATCAATGCAGCAAAGTCTGCAGCTCAATGTGGCTCAGTACATCGACATCTATCACTCCCCCACCGTGTTTTCACCAGCTTCCAATCTGTTTTCACCCACTTCCACTCAGTTTCCCTATAGATCCCTATAGAATATTTCAGGTTGACAGAGCATGCACCACCCTCCTGACTCCCCTCAGTTTCGGGACCAAAAACCCACGGTGGACGAGGTCTTTCCACCTCGTTCTTCGATGGTTTCGGGGTCCGAGTGCCCCTCCCAAGTTCGGTCTTCCCGGCAGGTGATCCACTTTCACGAGCACGGGCCTTTCTGAGGGCCTGGGCCTTTCACCACGTGTTTCGAACGTTTCGGGATGGGATCCGGATGGTTTTGGGGCACTCAGTGAGTGCCATCTGATTCCCTAGCGATCCAAGTATCTTCTGAGAAGGTACTTGGACCCTCAAAACCCACATAAGAGTGTCTCCAATCACCGTACCTGAGAAGGTATTTGGATCCCTAGGGATCATGAAAGAACCTGGAGCAATCTGGGATCTCCTTGCGCAGGAGGAGTGCATGGGAGCCTCAACCTGCAGCGAGGCTCGGGAGCGACCCTTTCAAGCACGTCTATCGGCAAGTAGGTGGTACATGGAGTCTGTGGGCGGGCACTTGTCATCCTGATCCGTCACATCTACTTGGGGTGATCCTCTCGTCTTCATCTCTTGGCTGTGCCCCTTCCTCCTTCGCAACTGAGCCGAACAAAAAACATGTTCCATATATCTACCGCAATCAACTTCATAGCCTCATAGCGATGTACCATCAGGACGGAGGGAATCACATTGAATCGCGCACGATCCGTACGCCATGTCGTCCGGGTTTCTCCACTCCTCAATGACCAGGAGCTGTCCCTGCCTGCACACGCTGTCCGACCTCATCTTCGCGCTGTGGCCTCTCAGCAAGTTGCACGGTTGTCCGGAACGTGTAGCAAAGAGACAAGCATGCTACACTGCACGGAAAACAATGAAATGGATTTGACTCTTTTCCATTGTTTAGTGTGGATCAACTACCTCTACAGTATCAAACTCCTATCATTAGTCTAGCAAACCTGCTTGGTTGTGCTGGCCATGCACATCTCGTATAACCATGTATAACCTGCTTGCCGATCCCAACCATCTCGGGCCCAACCTCATCTAGACCCACCACTACCAAGGCCCACCCAGCACCAAAAAAGCCGGTCCATTTCACTCCCCCCCCCTAGGCCGGCCTCACGTGCTTGATGCAGTAGTTCACTCCCAAGCAAAGGATCCGGTTCCACTTGGGGTAGATGCGGAGCACTTCGGTCACCTCCGACGCGGCAGGACGGCCGCAGGGAGCGGCCGCTGGACCCAGGGTGCCGCAAATGCCGTTTGAGTCACCACCAGTGGGGACTAGTGGACAGCTTTGGAAGGGCCATCAATCAACATCCCCTTTCGGCCATGAATTTCAGCTGATAGGCTTCCAAGCTCTACAGCATGATGTTTTTCTTCGGATTTCTACCATGGTCCGGATCTTTTTTCAGACTAGCAGATTGGACCCAAAGCGGATCGCCTTGCCCTTGTCCTTGCCCTTCATGATCTGCACAATGTCTCCCGGCATCACCTGAACGACCGCGGTCGCGGCGGCTTCGAGCGAGAGGTCTGGCGGCGCGCCGCCCACAAAGTCGGCCGGGACCGGGCAGGACATGGGATGCCCAACGCCTTTCCCTCCAAAAATGAAGTGCTTTAGATGGCAACAGGTAACAAAGAGGGACGCAGAACTGCATCCACTGAAAAACTCTGTACAGGTGCTGATGCACTCTTTGCTACTACAGGGGGTTTTCCTCGCCAAGTCCCATACCCATCGCGCATGCTATCCGTATGCCGCATGAAGATGTGCTTCCCCCATAGCACATCCCGGCTCTGACCCTACTGCAGTCGCCCCACGTGCATGCGGAACTTGATGGACTTGTTGGTCTTCCGGTTCACCCGCACGGCGATCTGACGGCCATCCAAGATGGACCTGGCGTCCGACGAGTGCAGTACGTTCTCTTCCAAACATGCTAAACCAAGGATGAAGATGATGGGAGGGCACGGATGAAGAACCTCATAGTAAGTTACTTAGTCTTCAAACATGTTATCAGTTTGGCAAAGAACATGTTGACCATTTGCACATACATAGCGTCTACGGCCCTGTTGCCCTTCAACCCTTGCAACTCTTGCAGCCTCAGAGCCACACAACCAGCCAACCCTTCATCATATCTCCTAAACTCCAAGGACGATCAGCACCAAACAAAACACACACAACAAGCATGCTGCCCAGGTGTGTGGCGTTTTGGTGTCCGACTTTCCACTTTCGCCCTGGCGCGACCGGCCTCATGCGACCCGCGCGCATGCGTCGGGAGGTGCGGGAGTCGCCCGTCTGCAGTAGCGGAGCGAGAAGAGACGCGAAGCGAACGGGGCGCTCCGATCGCAGGACTAGTCCCTAGGGCTCCGTGGGTGCCAGGGGGGTCTAACCACCGGTCACCTGAGGAGATGGGACAGGAGCCCAAACGGGAGTAGCAACAAGAAGCTACTTCCAAAGGCTGAAGAACCCACAGTATGGACTATCCCATAGGTACCCCGGGTGACTGGTCTCATAAGGTCACTTAAAGTCTCAGAAGGTCACTGTGGAGGTACGGGGGGAGTGTCTTGACAGTGAGTGAACATATATATTTGAACATGGAGAGGTTGGAAAACATCGCTGGAACTATGGCATGGAAGACTCAAAGAAGTCCTTTGAAGGGAGATTGTCTTGTAACAAGGAGGGGAGAAACAACAAGCACCACGTGAAGCTGCATTACAACTACTTAACTCCTCTTGAGGTACTTCTTCAAGGTGAGGAATTTGTATGACTTTGCGACACATTGAGCAAACCTAGCAAGCATTACTCAGGCATCGCACCACATAAATGCACTGCAATGAAGAGTAATTTCTTGTAAATCTCTGTGGGCACAGTATAGATTGAAGGGTATGTGATGCCCTTCTTGATGGTTTATCAAGAGGCCATCCTTGTAATTTGAGGACTCCTCAGTCGTTTTTTGGACGACAAAATCTAATTGACACTCGCAGTGGCTCCTCTGCGTGGTCCACTTTCACTTTGCTCAAATGCTTTCGCCAACTACTTGTCAAAGCTTTCGGTGTGACGATTCTTTGATATACAACCCGCCGTCCTGCTCTATCTGTTCTATCTGCCATGTAACTGTACCCCATTCCCCTCAAAGCAGGTGATCCACTCACCATGAGTGGGTGGGTGAAGTCCCCTGTGGAACTGGTCCTTGTGGAGGATTCGTGGAGAAAACAAAAACCACACCGTCCCCACTTCGAACAACTCAATCCGTTGTTCAGTCAGAGTCGCAACTGCCGGCGCCAAGGCTCCGGACTGGTGTGGTGGGGTAGTCATTCCTGCGACCCGATGGGGTGGAACATGGGGACGGTTCTGATTGGGGGTACCTCAGTGCTCGTTGGATGCATTTTGCGGCAAACAGGATCATTTGTGTGTGTTTTCGGCGTTCTTTTCCCCAATAGAATCTTAGGACCACCGTGAACTTCTGAAAAAACATCTTCTTACCAGGGGCGTGAAGATCTGGGTTCAGGGCGAATCGGCTTGGACTCGAGTGGATGATACACTTCAGGGGGTACGATCATCTCAAAAGAACAAAAGACAAGACTCGGGAGATCCCTGGTCATGCTCCAGTGCCCACCCACATGTTCAAAGAACTCATTCATCCGCTACATGGTCATCATCCCAAATAGAGATACTAATTCATGTGGTGAAGACCCCACACCACGAAAGAGCATTCTTGCAATAAACATGCGTAGACTCAGTAAACCTCCCCGTTCCTCCACCAGGTTGTGTATCAAAACCCCCTGTTTCACCGCTCCCGCCTGGCTTGCATCACCACCTTCGGTGTCTCACCAGATCCACGCGTCCTGCAGACCGGACATCGACGCGGTGGGTCTGCCTGGTCTCCCCGACCTGTTCGTAGCTCGGACCAGTCCAAGATGGTACAAGTAGCTGTCTTCTATAGGGTCATGTCATGTCCCATGTTCTAAAGAAGTCAGGTCGCAAAGAGCGTGAAGATATAAGAAGCCGTCTGAAGTGGTTAGAAGAATCGGTCTTGATCTGCGCTGTCTTAATCTGTGCACACAGGCTTCTGATTCCTTAAAGGCCACAAAGATCCCAAGCCTGAGGGATGTACGTCTGGAACACCAGCAAGGGTATTCCGAATTTCCTTGAACACTGGAAACTAGTATCTCTTAAATGTAGCCAAATGTCAACAGTACATGAAGGTTCAAAGTGTTTCAAGGTGCAGTGCACCAGCAGTGGATGGATGAGGTCTACCCATCCCCCTTCCCATGCTGCCGGTGTCATGTCTGCCTGGGCTTCAGCAGGGCCAAGCTGCCCACAAGCGCCAGCGCTGCTACAGAGGACATTGAGCTGGACGAGGCGGCTGATGCCTATGGCCACGTCATCTTTCCCAACAAAGTCCGCAACTTGCACACGCCCTGGCTCAGAGACCCACATTGAAAAAAAAAGCCCGGTTTGTAGAGGAAAACACCCTTCCAGGGAGCCATTCTCAGGTTTTCTGGAATAGACTATATAAGCCCGGTTTGTAGAGGAAAATCGGTAGGTTCATGCCATCAGGTTCCATATGAACTTTCGGTGTAGTCGAGGTGAACTCAAGCGTCCGAGATCTCGTCCAGTTTCCAGGGTATTGGAGGTCAGGTCGCGTAGCTACCGCCGTATTCCTGACGCTGGCTGGGTGGATGGAGGGACTGATGTCCGAATCGGAGTATATGGATGTCAATTTGGTAGTTGCAGAAGACACCTAAAGAAACCTGAAGATATTCGCGGCAAACTACTCTCCGCAGCTTAGCATGAGAAGCCTCACTTGGCTCCCTCGCCATGTGAGCACGTGCCGGTGGGGATGGCACGGAGGACGTGCTGCCTGCCGCGAACAGCGAAGCGGTGGCTTTTGACTCGACTTCATCCACTTGGGGAAGTAGACAGTATACCGCAGTATACCCCATATACCCGCGAGAATCACCCTAGAAGTCAAGTCTTTCCCAGCAAAAACCTGGTCCTGAACCTCACGCGAATATCACCCTACAAGTCCAGTCTTACCCAGTTAAAACCTGGTCCTGAACCGCATTCAGCTGTTTTTTCTCCTGTTTTTTTGGATGTCCAACTCCAGTACAATAAGGTCTTTGGCCTATAGAGATCATATGCCATGAACATCGGTGCAACTGACTAGCTCACATTGGAGATCGATTTCTCAGCTGTTAGCTATGATCATGTAGACTCGTGATTCATACACCCACCCCATTTGAAACACCTCTTCAGGCTTGGGGGGTGTTATGGTCCTCAGTATGGTCCTCAAGAGTCTACATCTTCATGAGTCTAAAGATAGTCTAATGCATCTAACCTGCAGCTGCTCTCCATGGCCTTCGGACACTCCAAGAAGCTGGGCATTTCTCCATGATCTGCGATGATTCTCCGGGTGTCCCGAAACCCACGGCGGTTGCCCGAACGCCTCGGACGGTTCCGCCTCTCAAAGTGACCGGCTTTCCCGACACGAAGGACCGGGACCTAGGACGAGGCGAAGGCTGCAAGGACCGGTGGGAAGGCGTCGAAGACACCTGGCTGGAATGTTCGGCCAAGAAAAACGGAGCATTCTAAGAAGTATATATACTTAGTATTGGGTCTATCCTATTACCTGTGACAGTGGATGATGATGGTTAGTAAAGGCCTTGTCCAAAAGTAGTGATGATTGTTTACTGACTAGTGTTACAGGTATATAATAGGACAGACCCAAACCTGGTATATAAGTGCTTAAAGAATTCCCTGCAGCTGGCTCATGCTGGCTCGTCCTGAAGCTCCTTGGCAGGGTCCAGCCGTACCTTCTGAGAAGGTAGATCGCTAGGGAATAACCAACCCTGGAACATCCATCTGTTCCATCATGTCTGTGGGGAATCTGAATCAACTCCCCCGAAACTCATATAAAGATGCTTAACGCTTTTCCACTTTTCCTGAGAAATGAAATGAGTAGGAGTACCTCATCTGGCTGTACACATGCTTGGCCCCCGCACTCACCGAAAAAGCCTCAGCTGCACTGCTCACGTGCTGACTCTGGTCGGTCGGTCGAGTGGCAGGCAGACCCGTGGAACTGCGCGCAAACGTCACGGGTATCGTGGGCTTCTTTGCCTCTAGGACCGGAAAACCTAACCAGACCCCTGCGATGATGGGGAAAAAGAAACCACTATTTGGAGTGGTCTGTGGGTGGCTCAGGGTCGTCCTGGCTTGAGAGAATATCAAATGAATCGTATTCATCCTTCTTGTTTGTCGCTTCCATCACTTGGGTGGACCTCTGAACCACAACAGGTACACGAGTGGTGTATGAGACCACGTTCGTTCCAAGACCATGAGGACGGTGTGGCGTGTGGTGCCGGTCACAACAGAGGCGGCATCGTCTCGGCCGGAGCTTCAATCCAGGTGAGAAGGTTCCACCTGTTCTGGAGTGGAGGTTGGCCCCAAAAGAGTTTTGCAGGTGATGGGAATGGGGACATGACCAGATCGGATGGACATATCCTACCTCCACATCTGATGCCCACCACCCAGAATGAGTTCGGGGATGTTCGGGGTGAATGGAAATATCCAGGGCGGTGAAAGAAATCCATGCGCCTGATGACAGCTGGACTCTGCGCATGTGTTTACCTGATGCTGCTGGAACTAAGCTAACTAAGCACCACAAAGGTGTTACCAAAAACCTCAAGCAGGTATAGATCTGCATATATAGCCAGTTTCCCCAGCAGTCGCACGTGCCAAACACCCCTTCGACCAAACACAGCCATGTGCTAGGGCCAGGACAAAGCGCGATGACCATCATCACGGCCTTAGCACCACAAGAACTCAGACTCAAACTACCTCTCAACTACCAAAATTCAAGGAGATACTGAGATACCTCTTCATTCATGGCTAATTATTCTTTCCGAGCGGATTGGGCTTCGCTGTGCTTTAGTCATTCATGTCCCATCTCCCCCAAAGGAATGATGATGATGATGATGATGATGATGTCCTGTGGCATCTAAACTCGACCTGGTGATGTCCAGGAATTCCAAACCGGTCCACGCCAGCCGGTTCCTCATCCACGAACCGTACGGCGACCAGGTCAGGCCAGCCGTCGACTTAGAGTAGAGCCATAGGGGAAGTACTTCCGCTGTCACAGGGGCTTCGTTGCTGGCTGCATTGTGGCCATATAATTTGAGACATTGATACCAATGGATTTCTATGAAGTATGTAAAACAAACTAAACTTACCGGACAGGACAAACAAGTACATCAAATCCATGTATTCATCTATAAGTACGTCAATAGTACCAACTTTGGATCCTCAGGGATTTATACCCACCCACCGAAAACATAGCAACAACAAGGGCTAAGATTCGGAAGCCCTGATCAAACACGTGGCCATGGCTTCAAAATACTCCCAAGAATTGGCTTTGACATGGTTTGACAAATTCACACCGGCAAACTAAAGCAAAAGCTAGTGGATCTGAAGTCGAAAATGCTTCCAACCACATCCAGCATCGACCAACTCAGCACCCGTGCCACGCAAAGCTGAGGACACCTGGAGTCTGGTGGCGGAAAGGTGCGACTCCCCCATTTTCCAGAGATTTCCATACAACCCCAGGTGATGTAGGACACCTACCTACTAACTCCAGTCCACCATGATGAATTGGCTGAATGTAAGTCTAGAATCTCAGAAAGCAGCCTATATTGGTCACTTGACTTCTCCACTACTCCAAGATCAAAGGTCAGTCAACTGAACACAGCAGCCGTGCCAGGCGCGCCTAGATCGAGAGGCAAAGGCCTGCCATTGGGATCCTGACCGCACGTAGACTACTGCTCGCTGGAAGATTAACATGGAACCTGAAAACCACCGGTTTGTGGAGAAAGAAAACCAAATGGCTACTGTGAAAACCTGAAAACCATATAGTCAGCTAGTCTTCCAAAGGCAATCACCTGAATCTTCCCCGGGTGTAGGGGGATCAACCTACCAAGGTTTAGGGCTTCGGGCTTTGGCCGGATGAAGCTCAAGAAACTGGAAAGTTGCACCAACCTCAAGGTAGTACATGGCCATTCGGGCCTTCGACTGGAGTTGCTTTTGGAAAGAAACATCCTTTATAAGAATGGGATTCACCAATAGGGAATGCAGCATTTAATACTAGGGCCCTAAGGCCACATTTCCAATGGGTTGTCTCCCTCTCTCTACCTCTCTGTTTGTGGGCTTTCTCGCTGGCTCAGAATGGCACCCTTAACGGAGCTAGGAAGGTGCGAAGTATGCACACGTCCGCCCCCAAGTTGTGTAACCCTGTGGGTCCACTGCCAGCATACCTCAGAAGGTATGACTGGGCCCTGGCACCTACATAAATAGTCTCCGTCCTCACCGTATCTCAAAGGGTATATGTGGATTCATATAGGGTAAGTGTGTGCCTTTGTCCTTGCAAAACTCCGTCCTTGCAAAGCCATGTCGGCCGCAGTGGCTACTCACGGCTGCTTGCGTGGCTACACACGCCACAGGACCTTGAGCCAAGACTATCCGAAACTTCAGGTGGCGATGAAAAAGAATGACATTTGGACTCTTGGAAGATGACAAAAGGAAAGTGACAGCTGTGGCGCAAGTGCTTCTCCTAGCCGTGAGAAGCCTTCGCAGAAGAATCATGTGATGTCTGACATTGTTCCGTAGTTCATGGGGGTTGATGTCTTATGTTTTCTCCGTAAAGTCTGCAGACACTCCTTCTTGCAATGCGGTCGTGACCCCCTGGAATAGGTTCGGGAAATAGGACTAGTCTACCAGCCGATTCGGGCGGTCTCCTTCCCCGCATGCATCCTCCAAACCATTTTGTCCATCTCACTGCTCGAAACTTCTGGCAGCGGCCCTGGATGGCACCGAAGCGACATGGTCCTTGTGTGTCCTTCCCTAAGGGTCCAGGACCATCCTGAGGATGTCCTTTGACCCCCAAGACCATTCTCTGGAAGTACGAACTCACCTCCAAGACCATCCTCAGGAGGTACCTGGACCCTATGGGCTTGTCTTTGATGGAACCCGGGAAGCACGAAGCAACTTGGGCAACCGCTCTCAAGGACTTGAATCGATTTGTTGTTTGACATAGCTGGCCCTAAGGTCTTCCGAAACAGGTTTCATGGGAGCAAACGCAAACGCACTGATTCTTAGCCACTAAATCTGTATTCGTTTCAACAGAACGTCTTCCATCAGAGTCAACAGCACGTGCTATGTCTGAGTGGACGAACATTTCGTTCCTCAACGGTAACTCTTCGTTCTAAGTTCCACAGGCCAGCAGTCACATGTCGGGGTGGTGTTTAGTCCCTAAGTGAGTGGAGTAGCTGGGCACCCCGACTACCTCCATTAAGCACACCGACATGTGACTGCTGGTACAGGTTCTTACCCTTTGACTGCCCTTGCCTTCCATGGATCTGTACTTACTTATACGCAATGCTCCAGGGTTGAGATGACCCTGTGCGTCTCCACACAGGGTGCTCTTCTTGCACTGTCTCTGCCAAGAGGCTTTGAAACAAAAAGGCTTAGGGAAGCGGGAAAGCTTCCAAAAAATCTTCGCCAAAAGGAGACTCACACCTAGGGCACATAAGAAAAACTAAATGGACTATGCAACACCTGCAAGTTTCTGAACTGAATCTTCCTTCCAATCGGGCCGCTGGCGCTGAGCAAGCTATGAGACAGCCAAAGGGCCACCATGGACGTGCTCGCTCCAGCTTCACTTCACTTGCATCACAGGGGTGGCACAACACCTGCTATGGGTCTGGAGACAATTCGAGTTCCAGAATGTTCCAGAATCCCGATGGAGCCTGACGGATATAGCCGAATGTCCTATGTCCAAATGGTTTATGTTTATAAAGGCATGACTTGATGGTCTGTTGAGCTTGAGCTTGAGCTTGAGTTTGAGCACGTCTTTGAAAGGTCTGTTGAGCTTGAGCTCATTGAGCTTTGAGTGATGTCCTGGAGTTGTTGTTGTGCCATGCGTGCATCAATTGGATTTCGCAGGACCTCCAGCGCAGCTCCCCACGCTTGACGAGCTACCCGACCGTGATGAGCTACCCTTGACGAAACCCCTTTTGCAGACTAACATGGACCGTGTTTTGACGAGACCCCTGGTTCAGACCTGTTCTCGAAGACCAACAAAGATGTGTTTTCCACCTATCATGCCTGGAAGGTATTTTAACCCTGCCCAAGAATATTAACCAACTGGGTGTTATTCCTAATGCAGTTGGACAAGAAAAAAGAAACGGAGGACCAAGCAGAGCTGCCTTCCTCGATCAACCAACGAACGCACCGAACTCACCGAACCAAAGGCGGGGTGCTTCAAAAGTGCTACAGGTCCTTCACATCTCAAATCTTTGGGCACCCCCAGTCACACGGTGCCCTGGCGAGCTCAAGATCAAAGGCCGATACCCAGAAATCAATATCAACCATCGGGGTCTGAACTGGTGAGCGAAGCAGAGAAAGCAAAGGCACCAAATGGATCAGAATGGCAGAAACTACAGCAGCAACAATCTGGAGGCTCCCTTGAATGACAACTCCCTAGGGTTCCAACCATATCCTCAGAAGGTGGTTGGAGCCCTACTCTAAACCAGGAAAGTCCTAGCAACACATCCGGGGACCAGCAAACCCCCATGGCACAGACCGCCACGACCGGTAGCCCGGCAAAGTCCTTGCAATCAAGATTTCCCAATGGCACAGCGTGCTTGATGCCCATAGAAATCACGTATTTTGTATGTGGTTTTGGTGGGACTTCGCATGGCACAGCGCCAAGGAACATGGCTTTGTCATGCTTTGTCACGAACCTGTTTTGGATGGAAACACTGTGGTTTGCATGGCAGGGCCTACTACCTGTCAATGTCTTTCATCCTAAGAACCAGCATGGCACAAAGGTTTCATGGTAACCTGGACATGGTACCCACCGATGGGAAAGCAACTAACCTTTCTGATCCTAAATTGATCTTTGGGTCGAACTGCTTGGCACAGATGTGGTGAGTTCAGGACATGGCCCACCAAACCATTCAGCGACAGCGAGCAAAGATTGTTTTCTCACTTTGCTCTTCGCACCTTGCTGGGTCTCACGAACCTGCACTTCCGGTTCTCTTCCCAAGCTTCCAACCACTTCGTGCGAGATTGGGTATTCTTGAGGCCACCAACTTTCTTGAGCTCTGCAGACATTATCTTGTAGAGCGGCATTGACTTCCTGACTTGGGGCTGTAAATGCTCTCGCACAAAGAAATCTGCCACTGGCCGCACACGCTCTCGCCTCTCCTTGGAAAAAAGAGAAGCCAAATAGTGCACACAGCCATCGCATGTGTTCAAATCCCATTCCTGGTCACTTTCATTGACCTCAGCCGACGGTTCCTTCCCACTGGCAGCAGCTGCGCCGCTTTCAGGTTCTTTGGAAGGCGGAAGCGCTGCTGAATCAGAGGTCTTTTGTTTTTTGGTCCTAGAGCGCAGTTCTGCCAACAAATCTGTCACTGCTTCACGGCTGAAACTTGTATCGCCCTCGGGTACCTCCACCTCTGAAGCACTCTTCCACCCTGACCTTTTGCCATCACGGTGCACCTCATAGGTACCCTTCTCGAAATTTTCATTGGGAATGGAACAGTTTTGACAATACTTGCTTGTTGCCAAGACCCAGACCTGGCACGCCTTACAGCGGGACTTGCTAGGTGAGCACTTCTCAATGACTTGCATCAGGGGCGTCTGCGGCTTCTCGGCGTATTTGTAGCTTTGGATCACCTCGCTGTATCGTTCAACCAAAACGACATCTCTGTCTATAGACCTTCCAGCTTTCAGACCCACCCTTGCCCACCCAGCAGCAGCCCTTTGCTCTGTCAGAGACTCTTGGGTGATCTCTCTGATTGCTTGAAGGGCCTGGTACATATTCAAGTTGTTCTTCCACTTGCCTTTGAAGGCGGACCAAAGCCGAGCCATGCAAGCATGTGGCTCTTGGTCAAGAGCGCACAAAGAAGTGAACCGCAAAATATCATCATTCTTGCCTTCCTCTGCAATCCCTGCCTTGCTGTCCGCAGCCGGTGTTGAGACATCAAGCAAGGCATATCTCACAGCTGAAAAGGATTCTCCCCACCTTTTCTTCTCCAAGTCCGACTGCTCCAGCCAATGAGATAGAGCATCTGCTTTTGGCGCCCCACACAAGATTCTTGCAGCTTTCTGAAAAACAGTGCACCAGCTCACTGCTTTTGACTTCTCAGTCAAGGCTTCCAAAAAATCTGCATGCGGAACTGCTGCTCTCGGTTGCCATTGTGGGAATAACTTGGCGGCTGCTTCCTCAAGCTTTGTTTTTTTGGGGGGGGTCTGAAGCTCTGTCCTCTCACTTTTCTCATCGACGCCAGGCTTGGCGTCAAGAATCTCCTCCTCCAATTTCTCTTGCTTTTGCCAACATTCAAAGCAGCATTCAGGAACTGGAGATTTGTTCTCTGACGTCACTGGGCGCGAGCACTGCACACACACAACATTCCGTGCATCTACAGAAAAGTCCTCGGCCACAGCGGCCAGAGATTGTAAAATTGCCCCACTTCCAGACCCAGAGTTTGCGTTCCCATCTGCTACACCCTCTGCATTGGAGCTCGACTGGGGCTTCAACAGCTCAGCAAGCTCGTGTTCAAAGCATTGCTTGCAGTATTTAGGTAAGCAACTGCGGTCACTGTTGGGGATATCCAAGTTGCACCCGCTACAGAGAAACGAGTCTGGTGGAGGAGTGGAAGGCGGTGGCAAAGGTGCAGAAGCATCAGCCTCGCTGGCTGCGCATGCTCCTCAAGCAACCCACAAAACAGTAAACTTTGAGAGAAGTCACTGGGTTTTCGGACGATGTAGCGGACGAGGTAGCGGACGAGGTAGGAACCCTACACCTAAACATGCCATGCAGACATCTCCCCACATGTGCTAACCAAAAGCCTCGGTCAACCCTGAACGTCCTGAAACTTCCGAGAGATCCTGCTTCTTACAAACGACGTCACCGTCTACAATTCGACGTGCCAGGCGAGCGCGGTTCTCTGAAACCAGCAGGCTGGTATCATAGGAAAGACCCCATTCCTCGCACGCCTCAAGCAACCGGGAGTGAGAAAAACGGGCGATTACAGCTTCACTGTACTTTTGGGGAGCCATCAGGCTGCAGTCGGAACGAGAAGCAACTGCAATCCCTCAAGTCTTCTTTGGAACAATTCACGAAACTTGCTCGCAAAGTTCCGACTTCCTAGACAAACATGTCGCACATGTGTACTCAACAAGGAACAGCCAGCTCATGCCTGCCAGGCTACAACAAGTGAAACCCATACGCTTGCTGCTTGGATTGCTGAGAAAAAACAATTTTCCCAGCGCATCAAGCGTCTAAAGGTAAAGCCTTCAGGTTTTTCTGGTTCCCCTAGATTCTGCACAGAATCTACAAATATATAGCCCAGGCTATCCCAAGCTAAACCCTACTGAGCCTGACTCAAACAAAGGTCACACTCACAAACATCCTCTGCTGCAAGCCTCTGACGCTTCAGCGCAGACAGA